TAAAGTACTGTCATGTAACTAAAGACAAGAGACTGGGAAGCAAGGAGGAAAAATGGGCTGCTACTGCTGAGGTTGAGCTCATTCCCAGCTGCTTCTGTGTGTTCCCTCCATGCCTGGCGCTACTGTTTTCCTAGGCACCCGCTTCAGATCAATCATATTTTATGGGACTTGGAGAAAAGAGCTTGTTGTTCACAGGTTATCAATCCCTCAATGGAAAAGAAGCCAGGCCTTTTTTATTCCTACAGTGCAGGGCACAATACAACAGCTTTTCTGCTGTGCCTGCCAAGGTGAATGCTGTTGGCTGGACTGCCAGACTGAAAAAGCTGATTCTTTCATCCTGAGGTCACAAAGTTGCTGACACTTACTAACATGCTCACCAGGGATATTCATACACAGACGTATAGAGCTGGGCCGGATTTGATGTTTTCTGTAGTCCTGTGTGACTTCCGCGCTGAGATCTCCTCAGCCACAAGGGGGAAATTTTACAAAACCCCTGTTAATCCTGAAGGTTGCATTAAGGGAACACAAACACAAGACTGGGAGGGAGGTCCTGGGCCATCCAGTGCCAGTGCCCTGCTCTCACAAGTCACCATATCCTACGCACTTCCATTTAAAAAATGATAAAGCTCCATCTCTTTCATTTACCCACACCACTCCTCCCGAAATACTTTGCCAAAACCTCATTCCTCTGATGCATAGGACCTTCCTTCTATTCCCAGCCAAATCTTATTCACATCCAGTTCATACTCAGTTTGTTTTGTGCCAGTGTTGTTCTTTAGCTTAAAATAGCTCTTTACCCTCCCTGGTATTTGTATACCAGATGTATTTATAGGCAGCAATCAGATAGATCTCCGCGCAGCCTTTCTTTTCCTAGGCTAAGGAAGCTGCACTCCTTTTGTAGCAGTGTGCAAGGCATAGATGGCCCCCGTTTCTCTCCTACTCCCTATCTGTGCCACCGTGTAGGGTTTGGGGGTGTTCTGGAGGATGCATTATGGACACTAGTAAACTTCTCCCTGTCCAACACAATCTGTTGCCATCTTCACCTCAAGCATTCAGGTATCTACCTCTCATTTCTTGTACTACTCACCATCCACCCACCGGTCTGCCTGCCTTAGCTCTCCCTTGTTAGGCCCTTTGCATAAAGAGAAACAGCTATAAACTCAGACCGCTATTTCTCCTGTAGACTGAGAAGAGCGAGAACTTGTCTTTAAAGGGGAGGCAAAGTAGTCTAGTACACTGGGCACTGGCTGGAGAAGTCTCTTCCCAGCTTCGCCACTGCCTAGCGGTGTAACCTTATGCAAATCATTTCACTTCTCTGTACTTCTGTTACCCTTCCTTATGTCTGTCTGGGCTTTTTCAATTGTCCATTCCTCAGAGCAGGTTCTGTCTCTTCGTACGCATTTGTACTATGGCTAACACAATGAGGTTCTAATGTGGTCGAGGCCTCCAAGTGCTAGCGCAATAAAAATAATGATTTCTGTTTGTACATATTAAGACACATGCATGACTACCATAGAAATGGGTCTATTTAATAGTAATTAAATAGATCTCCAAACTGTATCTTACAGGCTTTTACTATGGCATTTTACTACTGTTTATAATCCACACCATGTTTAAAATTGATGAAATTATGGAAATTAAGAAAAACAAGGAAACTACTTCTCCCCTGCTTTGGGATTCTCTCTAACAACATTGCATGGGCAATTAATCTCCTACTGCTCTTGTACAAAGCAAATGAATAATCAGCAACAACTTGAATTAGAAAAGAAAGCAAGGAAATAGAGAAATGATTATTACAAAAAACATACTCTAAAAGAACACACTTCTGGCTGAAAGTAAAGCTGAACTTGAAACAAAGCTGCCATACCCCCAATTCATTTTCTGTTCTCATAGAAGGTTGTTATGAACCTAGCAGCCAAATGGATAGCAAATCTGATTAAGCAGAAAAAGGCTCTTGTCAGAATTAATCCAATTTAGAAATCAGATGGCAATGACGGATCAAGTTCTCCTCCCATCACCCCACTGAATCCAGGAGAGCCACGTGACTTTTAAAAAACTTTTTTTATTTACATTTAAGACTTGTCATTTAAAGGGGTGATACTAATGCTTTGTTTTAGCTTTCCATCCTACTCAAAACATAACCTGAAGTTAAATACCAAATAGCCAAAAGAAGTGGAAAGCAGTAACACATTTAAGGAGTCTGGATTTTAGCTGTGAACAAAACCTGTGCATTTCTAAACCGTGCCACTTACAGACAACTGTATAACTAGACCGATTCCACCTTGGGCTTTTTGAATGTCTGTGCCTAGCCGTACAGTTCAGAGGGATCTCAGGAAAGTGTAACAATACAGTCCTGAATATCTCTTGATATTTTACTAAAGATGTAGGTGTAGAATCATGAGCTACCTCTTTAATTCATTCGAGATGGCCAGCCTTCAAAACTCATAACACCTGGGAAGAAATTTGCCCCATTGCTTCCCAAATGTTTCCATCTATTCCCTGCGAGTCCAAATGGTTCTATTTGTTACAATGCCATGAATTAATTTAACTACAATTTATAAGCATTTTGGGTCAAAGCGGGCCTCTTTGTTTTGTGTTTGTGCAGCACCTAAACCAACGGAGTCCTGGTCCACGACTAGAGCTCCTAGGCACTACCATAAGAAACTGTGCTAATTAAAAGCGCCCGGCACTGCATCGGATGCAGCTGTATAAGTGGCGCCGTGCCAAAGCGTGCTGAGAAAATGGCAATGGTGCACTTTGAACTAAAGCACACTGAATGTGTTTTAGTTCAAAGCACGCTGCCCACCATTTTCTCAGCGCTGACGCACGCTGCACCATGTATACATGTGTAATTGACGCAGCGCCGGGCGCGTCAATTACGTGCACCAGCAGACTCGATTAATCGAGTCCAGATCCAACACCCTGGATTTGCCAGACCAGACTCACCGCATGTGTGTAAGTGCCCATAAATAATATTTAAAGCACAATACATCTGTGGACCAAGTAGCAATCAGGCTTTTGGATACACAGCTGGGTTGCCTCACTTAATAACTGATACTTTTCCCTTGGACTATCCATGCAATCAAATGGTTTGTTGGGCCTGTTAACTAAGAAGGCTGAGGTGTGGCATAGCAGGCCAGGATTGGAAAGCTGACTGAAAAGAGCAAGTCTTGAAAAGGCATGAGCTTCCACTTCCTGAGCTGCTAGAAAGTCACTCTCCCATTCTCTTTATTAGTGGAAGATTATGATGACTTCTGGTACCCCAGCTTTACTAAGAGGGAGAAGAAGGAATCATAATTAGCGTCTTCCACAAAAACTCTCACAGGACTGATTCGGCGAACAAGTTCTGCCTGGTTCTTCCATGTGAATTTTCCCCCTGGGGGCTATCTCAGAGCTAAGGCCAGCAGCAACTTCCAATTGCCATGGCATCTCCAGCGTGATTGCACAGCTTTGGCTGCAGCCAGTTTTTTCTGTGCTGTCCTCCTCCTCCCCCACCAGTAATAGCCCCTGTGCACCCCACCCTAGTTATTCCCCTGCTCAGAGTCCCCAAGACTGAGCTCCCTGCTGGAGTTTCTGGGCAGACCCCCCCATACTGGTTGTGAGGCACTTTCCACTCCTCTTCCCACTCCGTCTTCTGGGCAGCCACTTCTGTTCCACGGAGCTGCATCACCTGGACACTCCTGACTTGGATCATGCCTGGGATATTTTGCCCAGGGTCTTGAAAAGCCAGGACCGGTGGAACAAAGGCATCTGTCTCCCTTCTATCCTACTCCATACCAATGAAGACCATCCCATCACAAATCTTTTACTTTACATCTCCAGTTGGTTCCTCTGGTTTGAGCGCTGCCTGAGTATTTGTTCTGTGTGCCACTACTAAAAAGGCACAGAAGTGGAAAAGGCAAAGCACCTTTCTGAAAAGAAGTATGTTTAACTACCCAGGAGAGATTTTGTGAGCACTATCTGTGTGTGCATAAATCTAACACTGCCTATTTCAGTGTTAACAGCAACCAAAAAAAAGCCCAGCTGCAGGATTTAAGTCATGGACTGTGATGATTGGCAGGGAGTGACTGGTCATACATATCACTTTAGTAAAACATTGTGTAGAGATGCAATATGTCCTTAGAAAATCAACTGCTTCTCTCTGAATTGGCTCCAGTCCCTGATTCTTCATCTTACACCAGGTACAACAGGGCCAAGGTCTGTGCAGCTTTGCCAGTGGAGTAATTCCACTGATGTCGGTGAAATTATTCCAGATTGATGTTGCTGTAATAGAGAGCAGAGTTTGAGCTCTGCTGTCTTTATCCATTTGAGGGATGCAATCTGGATTTCCCCTACCTTGAGAGTCTATCTTGACAAATATGCTTGAGAGTCTCATTACTAACCTCATCTAAGAAAATTAACCTTTTGGCTCCACCCTGGGTTTTTCCTGAAAGAGGAAAAAAGGATGGTAGCTACAGGTTGTGTATTCATTTCAGAAAAAGCCACGGCAAACACTCTCTGCTATTCATCTTTTTTGCAACAAGCAGCCAAACCGGTACACACTAGGGGCCGAATTCTGCCACCGGCTGGGAGACATGCTGGCTCTTTTCGAACCAGCTGACTAATCTCTACATGCAGGTATTTGTAAAAACTGCAGTTGGTGTGTCAAGCATGCACATGGCGATTATCCAGGAAATTAAGCCTTAAACACAGCTCTGATGTTAGAGGGAAGGTTTTAGTGCATTGTCACTTTAAGTGTAAGTTCAGTGATGGGATGCTGCTTGCCTGTCGGAGAGTATTGGCGGCACAGAGCAGCAGCAGTGAAAAAGGCAAGTGTTTGAGTCTGTTTGATTCTGTATTCTGCCCTAGATGTTTTTAACAGTGCAGCCCAGCAGTCTCAAGAAGACAAACTTCAACAGCAAACTTATACACAGCCCTAGGCTGTCTTTCCCGCCGTATGTTAAAGGTGAGCAAGTTTTCCTTAATAAGCTAGTTAAATTGTGGACTAAATTAGCTCCTACCTGGGAAAGGGCCAGCTGGCAACCTGGAAAATCAAGGACCCTCTGTGTGCCTCTTCAGAGAGAGCTCCATGCACCCGGTCTAGGGCAGCAGTCACTTAATTCCCTTCCCTCTCCAAACAGCAGTCCCCTTCTACATTGATTGTGTCTTGTGAGTGATGTCGTGGCATCTACGATGCACAGCTGCAGTGAGACAGGAGAGGATACAACTTGATGTGATTTGATACCCGGTAGCACCTTCCTGCGCTGACAGATCCCCGAGCACTTCACAGATGGAGACTTTGTCAGCTACTTTAATGCAGGCCAGCAATTAAACCTGATTACAGTATAGCTTTGTATTTGGCCAAGAGGGACAGAGAGCTTGTATTTGTCTGAATCACTACTGCTAATATTAGTGAGACAGACGAATGCCAGTGATTCTATTACAGCTATTTACTTCCGTGGTCTGCAGAGAGAGGGATATGTCTAGGGAGCCTAGCAATAGCTGTGATGAGTCGCATTTTCTTTGCTGAGGGATTACTTTGCACGCACTAGTGTTAGTGGGGGAGAGTTGTTTAAGCACACTGGGCCATTAAGGGTTAATGAGCTATTTGACTGTGCTGCCTGTCAAGGAGGGTGAAGGGGGAGGCAGTGGGCAGCAGTGGAAGGATGGGAAACAAGCATTTTAGTCCTCTGTGCAAAAATAATAATGGCAACGCTGTCTGGGAAAAAAATAAGTAAATAGACGTGCTGTGCGAGATAAATGGTACCCTGGGGATATTTGTTCCTGCACTATCAGATCCGTCATGCATCTCCTAGAGGGTATAGCATTGGGGGTTTTTTACTAGCTTACTATACCAAGAGCTATATAGAACATAAACAAGAAAACTAAGTCAAGAAAATACCTCTTTCTTTTGGTGTCCAGTGACTGGGAGAGGGTGGGCGAGAGGAGTGACTCAAGGCTTTGAAATGGAGTGTCTGTATCTGGAGGCATAGATGCATGTATTTATATCATAGAGCATAGACAGCTGTGTACCTGAGACCAGAATCCCTTCCACGGAGCCTGGTCCTAGAAACACTACCTAATCTCCCTGATGTCAGGGGGATGACTTGTTGTGTGAAGGATTATTTGCAGTGATAATGGTTTTGCAGGATTGAATTCTTGGATTGTTTTATTTATTCAACATTAAAAGATTTTTAAGGACTGATGCACCATCCTGAAAACCTTCACAATGGGGAGACAATTATCTGTGAACTACGGGACTGTGTTCATGAGCAACGATTTCCAGGGGTCAGGCCTTTAATTCAGATGTCCTCCTTAAATTGTAGATGTACTTTTTAAATGCTGTGTATATCTTTAAGTCCAGAAATCAGTTTAGCATGGACATTAAGACAAAGAAACAATTATAAACAGCTCAGAACAAAGGGAAGTTTAGATTGTACAGACAAATCCACTGATATATTTTACTTTTTTTTCCCCTCCTTTCCATATTAGAAATAAAATACTTTTCAATAACTTGCCCTCTTAAGTGGAAAAATAAGCATCTTTGGCAACAAAGATGAAGATACAGAATTAAAATGATTAGAAATAAATAACAACAAACAAGATAATGCAATGTAAAACCTAGCTAATTACTTAGATATGTACTTTCATAGTTCATTTCACTGCATCATCTGCAGTGAATTTTATATTGTCATGCATATCAAGTTTGGAAATGTAGTAGTGAAAATGGAAGCAAAAATGTGTTTTGTCAACAGGAACTGTATGTGTGCGCCCCGGGGCAGCATATCTAGTCTGGACTAAGGGCAGTGCTTTATCATGCTGCCTTCTGTGACAATTTCTTTTTGAGAATATTTGCCAATGTTGAGTTGCACGTCGACTGTTTCCAAACACCTAATTACTTTTTGCTTAAGTCTTTTTACTCATAACCACTTTCCAGGCACTCTCTCACACTGTGTGGTAAAGGAGGGGCTGGCATTTTGTACCTGGACTCTTGGAACAAGTTTTTAATCAATTAACATCTGAGAGTTTTGTATTTGGATATAGGTGCTTCTCAAAATTTAGTAGGATTAGAGTGTTGTTGTAACCAGGATGGTCCAGGAAATGTACAAAAAGCAAGGTTTACTTGTGATATCTTTTATTGGACCAACTGTATAGTTGGGAGAGCTGTTGGACAAGCTCAGAACTGGCTAAGTTCCAAGGTCACTTGAGCCATAGAGACCTCTAACTTCCTCATTACCTATGAGGAAGCTATGAGTAACACATTGTCATCAGTGAATGAGACAGAAAACTGGCTTAATTCTAAAAACAAAATGAAACAGAAGAGTTAAGATAGTGTTGGATGGTGGTAGGGAAACAGTATCGGTATGTCAAACTGAGCTATGCCAACATAGTCTACACTTGGTGGTTCAGCTCTTTTTCCACTTCAAGAGCCCTCTGCTGCAGTCTTTAATCATAATTCCTGTGACTTCAATAGGAATTTTGCCTGAGTGATTTATATGTATAAATATAGAACCGTTGCTCTGGTCCTAAAGACACGTCAGTGTTCAGTACAAGTGCAGAGCCCCCCTCTCTGGTGTAAAAGTGGTACAGAAGGCTATATGCCTGGTTACTACAGCTCCACTTCATCCCATTCCTCCCCCCTACACAATGTTACCACCAGGGGAATCTTCCTAGAGGTGCAAACAAACCAGGGAAGCAAATTAATATCAGGCACAATCCCATCTGAAACGCTGTGGGCACAACACTATTCCTTCTTTTAGACTACTAACAATTTCCCTCCAGCCTTCCATATACCCTTTATAACTCCTTGTGCCTATAAACTATGGTTTGTCCACCTCATCTTGTAGGCATTGGATTTATGACCCAGATACCTTATTCCAGACAGACCCAGACCCTCAGACAGACCACAACTTCTTCCATTTGATAATAGGTACATTTTATTGATACACAATGATAGCAGATAAGAATATTGCAGGCAAGGCAAACAAAATAACCCTCCAATTCTGTATCTACCAGTCCTAGGTTTCACAGCCGGTACTGGTACATCTGGCCAGTACGTGAGCTTCACCCTGTGGTTCTTTCTTGAATATCAGATGTCAGCAGCCTGGAAGTTGAGGGCTGAGTCCCCCTTCCCACTCCCAGTTGGTGGATGAGACAGGCTGTTGGTGCATCCTTGATCCATGGTGGCCTTGGGTCCCCCACTCGGGGACCCTTTGCTGCTCTTAAATCCCTCATTTTGTATTCTTTTTCTCCTCTGATGAGTCTTCATCACTGGGTACCATTGATGGTTTCCCTGTGGTCATTATACTGTCCACATTCTGTTCTGTCAGCATATTCCTTTGTTTCCCAAACCCATCACATACACACATCTTAATGTGGTCATTTACCGGTGTCTTAATTTGGGTATGCCACAACCTCCTAATTTGGTCTGTCCACCAAAACTGGAAATCCCAAAGGCTCTGCAGTTGGTCACTGTGATGTAGCCAACACAGCAAGCCTATCTCATGTGGTAAGTGTCTTCAGTTTCCCAGCCTGTGGGTCTGCTGGTTCTAGCCACAAGGGCATTGAAGGAAATTTTGTCACAAACAGACTTTTAGAAACCAATTAACCCATAGGCAGATTAACACATGGGCCAGCTAGACCTGGGCCCAGGAGCACCCCTCCTCCCCCAATTGCCTGGGGGGCACAGTGGTGCCAGGTATATGATAGTTATTCATTTCTCATTCACTCACCGGCCAGCCACAGTCAGCAATGCAAAGCAAACAAGATGGCCTATTTGCATAGGCCCCAAAACATCTTAATCTGCCTCTGAATTAACCCTTGCTGCTGCTCTGGACCATTGTTCTATTCTACCTACAAGCAATTATTTAAACAAAATTGCTAAATATCATTTTCTAACCATCAATCTCACTCAGGTATTAGTTTTAATAACAATTTTCTTTCTTATGTAGCGCTTGGAGACCAACCAAGAAAAGAGTTGTTTTGTGTTGGGCACTGCACAAAGGCAGAGCAGCAGACAGTTCTTGTTCCAAAGAGCTGACAGGCTAAATAGATGTGGCAGAAAAGTGAAACTTAAAAGTACCCACTGTCTAAACATCCATCTTAACAATTAATTTCCATATAGATGGTGAAAAACTAGGAAAATAGTGAGTATCTTATGGTCGGATTGGACCCATGAAATCCAAAAGAAGCAAAATTAGTAATAAACTGCATGTGTTCCAATGCAGTGAACATGAATTCAGTGAAAATGGTGGGTTTGAGAAGAGAACTAAAATTGGAATCCATCTCTAAATGCGGGATCTGATCCTTTCAGGTACTGACCACCTCTAGCTGCCTTCAGCAAGTTTGACAGCAGCTCCTCCCCCTTACCCTTGCATGTTTACAGATGGCTCCATGGTCCTAAGTCTCATTGTCCAGGGCACTGTCTCCAGCAGCCATGGGACAGAAGGAGCACAACAGAGCACACCAGTGAGACAGCTTACACCATCTACCTGTAGAGGTTCAGAAAGAAGTCAAGACATTGAGTGGCCCAGAGAATAGTGTTTTGTCTTTGCTACGGATCTAATTACTGTGAGGTGCAGAATGTGATTCAGATACTATTGTGGTAGTGTTTCCTGGTCTTTTAAAATCTCCTTGGTATTTAAGGAGAGGCAGCTGCTTGGGCATCTGCATTATCAAATATCAAGAAACTCAGGCTGCTAAAGCAGTTTGTTTATAAGGCCATGATCTTATAAGGCCCACGTCAGGGCATCTCAAGTGATCTTATAAACTCCAGACTGTTAAAACATAGTGCAGTGTCCTGAACTGATGTGTTGCTGCCGAGTTTTACCACTCGGGGTCGCGGAAACGCAGTCACCACAGTTTGGGTATGTGTTTAAACACCTAGCTATGTTGAATAGGTCTCTGTGCTTAAATAGCCTATTGGACTGCCTTACCCACTTTTGTGCTGTCCTTCAATGCTTGATCATTTTAGGCTTCTATTCTCTTTTCCTGTTCGTTCACCTGCAGAATAGCACAATGTACATACCTACTCATTGTCACACTGCCAGAGTAGCAAAGCAACATCTTTTTGAAGATTTAGCTCCAAATGGTCAGATATGAATGCTAGCTCTGAGCAGGGCATCCCCACCAGATAGAAGCCTTTACCACCATCGCCGCCACCACCACCACCCCCCCTTCACAATGAAGTATCATCATTGTGATAAAAATTGTAGCCCATGAGGTGAAGTAATGTCCCAGGACCAGGCGTTTGGCCACTGGATCTGTTTTGTTATGGGCTATAGACAAGTCCCCAGCCCTTCTTTGGCCTGCATATTGTGGAAGGCAAGTCCACAGCTTATATAACTTGGCATAGGTCCAGTAGAGCCAATGGAGGTGAAGATCTGACCTGTTCAGCTTTTTGTACAAATCCCAGAAACTTGCCCTTTCTATCAAACATCCTTTATTTTAGAATAAGAAAAATGGCTGTATTAACAAAAAAGAAATCCAAAGGTGAGCTCTGTGAGCATGAGCGCATGCATGCACACACTCAGTAATATGCTCCATGAAGTCTGCCTTACAAAGCCTCATATCCTGCAGATTGCCTGACATCTATACTACTGTATGTACAAACCACAATAAAAGTTATGGTCAGGCCATAGTTCAGATTTGTATGGTACTTTTTATTTATACATCTTAAAGCAGTTCCAGAAGTAGATACATGTCATTTTTCCCATTTTACAGAAGGGAATCTGAGGCACAGATGTGAGGCACCGCGTAGTCTTGAAAATATGCCTTGCTTTTCCTCTCTGAGTCATTCAGAGTCTCCAATCCAAATGTATTGACTCCTTTAATCCAGTCAGCTCCCCAAGGCACATCACCTTATCTAAATTCCCACCCTCTGAGCTAGCTCTGGAGCATGGCTGGCATAACTGAGCAGGCAGCATAGGAAGCTCCCTAGGGTGGCAAATTGTAGTGGGTGGCAAAAGCAATGCCTTAGGCAGA